CCGGGGGGGGCGGGCCGGGGGGGGCGGGAAGAAGCCTGAGGGAGGCCTCGGGTGTGGGAGGGGGAGGCGTTGGGGGCTGGTGGGTGGGGGGGGAAGCCGGGCTGTGGGAGCAGGCCTGGGAGGGGAAGGGTGGGATTGAGGAGATGCTGAGAGAAACGTCTGTGAGTGGAACGGTCTGGGGAGGAGGGAGGGGAGGGGTGAAGGTGAAGTTAGTGAGGGGAAGCAGCTGTCTGTGAAGTTGGGAAGGGTTACGGGTCTGGTCAGCAGCTGTGTCGTCGTCGCTAAGGTTGCGGGTCACTTGCTGGGCTTCTTCTGGGCGTAGGTGCGGCTGGTGCTCTGCTGAGGAGGTGCTCGCTGTGCTTGATGTAGTGCCGTACGGGAAGTTAACAGAAATGCGCCCTTCATAAGTATTTTCATGGCATCGCGATTTCATACTGGTTTTTTGAAATGAGAAACACTCTGGCGGTACAAAGCTTATGGTTAAGTCAGAAAACCAGGAGATGCAGAGATAATGAACATAATAAGACAATACATATTATGGAGTAGACTGGAAGGTAAAAGATAAGCACCAAAAGGTACTCTAAGTTGTTTCATTTTATTGAATCCTATAAACTATATTTTAAATGAGAGCGAGGAAGACTTGGATACCAGAGGAAAGATTTGTAAGGAATGACTAGGGGGAGAAGACTGAGACTGCCTTCTGCAACGGAGGGATGTGCTATTTGGGACATAAAGAACAACATGCAACAAACCTTTCTAAAACCGAGTGAGCACCATAGTGGGAAGCTTATCTGTCACGGTGGCCTCTACACAGGGGGGTTGGGATCTAAGGCAACCCTTGCTTTTCAAAGGACCTATGTGCAGACTGACAAAATGGGGTTTAGAATGAACATTAGGTGACGGACTGCTTCTCCCAAAATCTGTGGGGTTGCCTTTCTCCATAGGCGCTGCACTTGACTCATCTGAACTCCTCGTGTGTGGACTGAGTTGAGCCTGACCTGTTTGGCTCTTCTCTGTTAAGTTAGTACACGGGACCTGCTCCACAAAAACCGTTGCTGTGTAGACAGTTTGCTAGAGTAGACTCTAGCTCTGTGGCCCGTGCTTTTCTTTTATAAAAGAACAAGCAATATTAAATTTCTCTAGAGGCTGCAGGGTGAGTTTGAGGGAGGTGATAGTTGGGGAGAAACTGATTTACAACAACCTTTTCCTTTAGAAACCGTAGCTCATGATTCCCTTGTACATTGTTAGGCATTGTGAGAACTTGTGATTGAAAATTACAGTTCTAGGAGATAAGGATTCATTGATTCAGGATGCGTGATGTTCTGGTTTGTAGAAGTGGAATGCGTAGCAAAAATACTGGTTTTGGGAAAGGCTATGGTGGTAGTAAGTATCAATTTGCTCTATTTAGAGCAATGTATTGTTAGGAGTGACTATGTCTTTAACAATCCTACAGGCTGCCTGCACAGCCTAATTCCTTATGCTAGTTATGCTGCTGTTTGCAATAGCAAGAAAAAGGCAGGGATCATCTGAACCAGGTACCTAGGGAAATCAAATCACATGTGTATGCTTAAACAGTTCCAGATTTGGCAGTGTTAAGTGAGGGCCATGCATACTTGATCTTTGGGACAGGCTTGCTAGATGTAGTTATTCCTCTCTTATTATTCTTGAATGGCTTGCTGCTTGGGCTTATTCTTCGCCAGTTACTTCGGTTCATGCCCATATGCATGCTGCTTGCGCAGGCTCAGTGCCTTCATTGGAACTCAGGAGGCTGCACAGCTGGGTCACATCGACAGAGGGTGTCTCTAGAGGGGAGGAGAGATTCTTAAGATCTGTACCTCTTAGGATCTAGCATAATAACGTGAGATGGTTAGGAGTTCGGGATTTTCCCATTGAATTTTTGAACCTTCTTGTCGTATATTCATACCCCTTCAGTACACTGCTCAGCTGACTAATTTTATTTGTAATTATTAGCTTTCTGCAATAAGTGTCTACAGATTTATTTTCACTGTAGTATCTAGTTTATGTTACTCTACTCAAACTAGGTCACCTTGACTGAGGGTGGCTGCATTGCCTCGAGCACCCAGACTTGATTAGTAATTCGTAAATAGTCTAAGTGTAAGCTGTAGCTGAACCCCAGCTGTATTCAATGTTCAGTCTTTCAGCACCTTAAACCAAGCTCCTTTGTTGGCTTGATACATCTGCAGGAGTTGCATTCGGGCAGTGCTTCAGTTCATGGCATTGCACTCCTGTGCGCTTGAGGAGGGATGGGCATTTGAACTAAAACTAAGAACTGAATGCCTCCTTGCTCACGGAATCTGAATGTGACTACTAGGATCTCTCTATACCGTGATCTGTACAATGAATGCAGTGTATGTACTGTTTGAAAAAGAGAGAGGCAGTTAAGGCAGGTTGTATCAAATTTCTATGCTGGCAGGCAGAGTTTGGTTTAATGACTGTTACGTCAATATAAAACTATTGCGCTACTGTGCACATAGCTGAAGACTTCATCTTACAAGAAATACTGGTGTTAGATTTAACTTAATGAGAGCCTGAATTTCCTGAACGCTGAATATTTATATTCAACGTGTGATTTCTTTAATATTCATCAAACCAAATTCTCATCAGTCAAAGAAATCTGATCTTCGGATTCTTAGGTTTGGGGTAAAGGATAAAGGGGGTGGGGTGGGCTCAGAGAGTATTTAGCCACAAATTTCACATTTAAGATTCACAATGCCCAACTTTTCCTGTCTGATACATAGATTAGAATGGTGTGGTATTTTTCCCACAAAAGAAAAAAACAAACAAAAAACCTTTGTGAGATCATAAAAAAACTCAGCAGTGTTAAGTTCCCCTTCTGCTAGGTTTTCTGTCAACGTGTAAGAAAACCTTACCTGAGTCCCAAGCAATTTATAGCATTGTCTGAAATTAGGTGTTAGTTAACAGGTAATTGCATTCCCTTTGTTAGACTTGGCAGTGGCGGAATTTCCTGGTTGAGCGATAGGCTAGTCAATCACTGATACAGCCTCCACTCTCCTTGGAAGAGCCTAGGTTTTTGGAGCAAAGTTGAAAAGAAATCATTGATTGATCTTTAGCAGTTACAATTTAATGTGTAACTACCCTGTGCATGAGTGCACTTGCCAGTGCTGAAAAGTATCTGCTTGATTTTAAAAAGGCCGAGGTAGGGTTGTGGCTAGGGACCTAGATGACATTGCAGGAGCAACGTCCACCAGTGTTCTACTGTGTTGTGCCTGATATCCTTGTCCTGAAAATATTACTTGAATGCAGTGATGTTTTTAATTTTTTTCACCAGTTAAGAATTTTTTTAATGTAAATGGAGAAATGGGAAATGCTGCCTGAAGGAAACTTTCATGTGAAAAAAATCTTTGTTACTCAGTTTCTGCTAGAAGAATAAGGAAGAAACTTTGCTAGAGGATTTGCTTTTAATAACGCTTCTGAAGAAGAATACAAGCTCTAAGAAAAACATAGCTTTTTTTTTTCCGTAGTGTGCTTAATACACATTATAATGTATCCAGCAAGAAGAATGAGTAACAAATTGAAAAACAAGAAAGAGCAAAGTAAACTTTAAAATAAGTGATTTGCAGCGGTTTATTTGAAAAGTGCCATGTGTTTGGGGAGGAACAGCTGTCAAGTAATAGGTAGCTTATGGGAGGGAGCGAAGAAGAAACCGGTATCAGGTATGAGGAAGATGGAAAACATTAATAGTGACATTTTAAAGTGAGAAATACAAGGTTTAAGGTTATTAGAAATGTTTTTAACATTATGGCTTATAAAAAAAAATTACACAGACATGAAAGATTACATATTGGGAGGGGTGGGGGAGAAAGAAATGCATTGTTGAATGATAGCGGTCCAAATTTGGCAGTAAAATATTC